CAAGCTGGAGGGTGAGGAGTGAGGGTGGCGCGGCCACCATCCCTCCTCCGCCCCAGCCTTCATTTTCCAGCCCGGAGCATCTGGGGCCAGAGCCTGCCATGGGCCCTGAGCTGACAGAAAGGAGATGAGGGTGCTGGGTCCCCTGAGACTGAGGGGCCCTGGGAGATGGCACTCTGAGCCCCCCTGAGGGCCAGAGCGATCCCCTCGGGGCTGAGCCACCCCAGCTCACCCCTGCTGCCCCCCAGCTCTGCCTCCACCCTGCTGCCCCATGACCCCATGTCCTTTGGGGCTGCAGAGCTATTTCTGGGCAATGCCCAGTGGGGTTTGCCCCCCAGGGAGCCAGTGTGCTGCCTCTCGGCGTCATCCGTCCCTGAGCAGGGTTGGGGGGGCCATGGCTACCTCCCAGGGCAAGCGGCATCTCCCTGCCGCCCACCTATTTATTTCCTTTTGGTGTCGCCAGCCACGGGGCAGCGGAAGGTCTGTTCTCTTCGTTTCGTTGTGGTGTGAAATAAAAGCGATGTAAAGATGAGGCACCGGGGCCTGTGTGTCTGCTCTGTACCTGCTGGCCACGGAACATGGCATCGGGCTTCCACTCACCAGCCAAGCCCTGGCCCCAGGGAGCTGTGGACGCAGGGACACGGCATCATACAGGGAGGTGGTCTTGGGGAACAGCAGTTGGGTCATGAGAATTTAGGACATGTAGTGGTGGGGAAAAGAGAGCCTGGGCTGTCTCTGGGCTGAACTGCCACTCTCAGGTACACGTTGATGCCAACATCAGCCCCTATATCGCATGAGCGGTTAAACCTTTTGCGGAATAGGACAGCTGTGGTGTTAGGGCAGGGATGGAGGGAGCATGGGGGCAGGAGCAGGAAAGCCACGGGCTTCAGTGAGCAGAGCATGGCCAGGGCAGCTCGGCCACCCTGCTGTCACCTTCGGGCTGGGCATGGGGCGAGGGCCATGGGTTTGGGGTGCTGCAGCAGTGTGGGCTCAGCTTTGAGCTCCTGCAGCGCGGGGTGTGCGTGGATGGGAGAGCTGCTGTGTACACCGTGAGCCCGGGATGGAGCCTGCTAGAGAGTTTTTTTGGCTCTACACCTCAGAAGTGATTTAGCAGCTGTAACACATCCATGATGGGAGAGTGCTTACCAGAGCAAGTGAGGGCTCTGTTTTGAAGCGAGTTTGCAAGGCCACAGGGCCAGGGCTTGCCAGGCTTCCTACCCCTGATCTGTTCCTGGCCTGCATGCAACTTGGTTTTAGCTCACGTGTCTGTAACAGTAATTAGTTTCTAAGTGATCACGTGCCTGTAACTAGTTTTACTTTTGTTATCTTGGCATAGCACAACCAGAGTTTTATAGAGATAGCAGTAACAAGCAGTTATTCTATATAAAATATTTACGACACTGACATGACAATGTAGTATAGAGGAAACATGGTCTTGGGATGATAGCAGCAGCCTTGAGAAGTGATGATGCAGGACGCGGTGCGGAGTACAGGCATGAAGGGGTAGGAGAGGGGGCTGAGGCTTGGCACCGGAGTCCCTGCAGCTATAAACAGCTTGGCCAGCCCCCGGTGCAGCGGCTCAGCCCAACATAAAATTATAAAAACATCAAACAACAAATAAAAACTTGGCAGAGAGCAGTGGGCTTGAGCTCACAGCACCCCACGCATCCCTTCCCAGCATGATGATGAGCACAGGCTAGAGCCCAGCAAGGAGCTACACCTTTAGACTGCGCTTCACCCGCGTGCTGCGATTGCTATACACTGCTTAATACTGCAACATAAGTGCACTGCCGTGTCACCGGGCTGTGGCGAGCTCCCGGGCCACTTCAAATGACTTCAAATAAGTAAAACTTGTATTAAACATTAATAAACATCCATGAACATTCCACATGTGGAATACCTAAAAGAACCTGTTCAGAGAGCATTGGGCTCTCCGCTGCGGCCACAGGCCCTACTGCGAGAAGATGCCCTTGAAGCGGACCTTGTCCTCGGCGTCCTTCTCGCGCAGGCGGGCTTCCAGGCTCCGCAGCTCCTTGGAGACGACGGGGCGCAGCGAGGGGTCGAGGGCCAGCACTTTGGCAAAGTCAGCCTGCGCCTCCGTCACGTTCCACACCGCCGCGTGGGCTTTCCCTCGCTTGAAGTAGGCCTTTACATTGTCTGCAGGGAAAGCGCTCCCGAACCCGCGGTCCCCACTGCCCCCATTGCCCCCCGCTGTAGCCAGCCGGGCTGGCCCGTGGCTCCTTACCCTCGTATTTGTTGAGAATGGAGGAGCAGTGGTCCAGCACCTCGTAGTACTCCTCGCACTGCAGCTTGCACTGGCAGTAATTTAAGAGCAGGGGTGTGATCTTCTGGTCGAGCTCGATCCAGTCCGGAGAGCCAGGCTGCTCCTGCAGGACGAGATGGAGGGTAGAGACTGAGGGGAAGCTCCTGAGCCCTGCACTCCAGGAGGCATGTGGGGAGACCCGCGTGTACCCCAGAGAGGAGCTGGGGAGCCCCACCTTCATCTGCAGGTTCTTGAGACAGGCGATGGCATCGTAATATTTGGCAGCTGCCTCCTGCACCTTGCCCTGCCGGTACAGCTCGTTGCCCTCCTTGTGGATCAGGGGTACAGCCTGGAGCTTCTCCTCATCCGTCATGGCCCACGGGTCCTGCTGGTAGGAGCCGGGTGCCTCCACCTGCCGGCACCCCATCATGAGGTCACAACTTCCCCCAACAACGCTATGGGCTTGGGGAAGAGTGGTTGGAAAGCCGCCCGGTGCAAAAAGGGCCTGGGGGCGTAGGTTGAGAGCTGGCTGAAGATGAGCTGGCAGCGTGCCCACATGGCCAAGGCAGCCAATAGCCTCCTGGCTTATATCAGCACTAGTGTGGCCAGCAGGAGCAGGACAGGGATCATGCCCCTGTACTCGGCACTGGTGAGGCCGCACCTCGAATCCTGTGTTCCGTGTTGGGCCCCTCACTACAAGAAGGACGTTGAGGTGCTGGAGCATGTCCAGAGAAGGGCAACGAAGCTGGGGAGGGGTCTGGAGCACAAGTCTTATGAGGAACAGCTGAGGGAACTGGGGGTGTTCAGTCTGGAGAAGAGGAGGCTGAGAGGAGACCTTATCGCTCCCTACAACTACCTGAAAGGGGGTTGTGGTGAGGTGAGTGTCAGTCTCTTCTCCCAAGTAACAGGTCTTCCTCTTGACAGGACAAGAGGAAACCCCTCCTGCACCAGGAGAGGTTTAGATTGGATGTTAGGAAAAATTTCTTCACTGAAAGGGTTGTCAAGCATTGGAACAGGCTGCGCAGGGAAGTGGTGGAGTCACCATCTCTGGAGGGATTTAAAAGACGTGTAGATGTGGCGCTGGGCTTGGCAGTGCTAGGTTAATGGTTGGACTCGATGATAATAAAAGTCTTTGCCAACCTAAATGATTCTGGGATTCTATTCTATGAGGGCAGAGCCTGTCTCCAGGCAGGGGAAGAGGCCCAGCGCCCTCCTGCCTGCAGCCACACCCTCGGGTTGGGTCCTGCCCCTGCTGGCCGGGGACTGGGAGCAGGAGAGCCTCGGCTGCCCTGCCCCACGCTGGCACGAGCGGGTGCCTCACCTTGAGCACTTCGATGTCGAAGATGAGGGGCTGGGGGTTCTTCTGGAGCTCGTCGAGGTCGGGGTAGCCCAGGGAGTAGTGCTCGTGCAGCTGGGCGATGCTGCAGCAGTGCCGCTGCCCCT